AAATCAACTTCAATAATATGATCAGCTTCAGCACTGGTCAGTTCCAACATTGGCATCTACTTAAATTTCAAAATATGCATATCCATCCACTAAATTCGCAATCTATTTCAGCATTAGCGAGCATAAGCATCAACTTCTAGGTACACTGCCATTAACTTTAACACCGTCTCAAAATTTAACATTTTTTTAGCTCAATCCAAGATATTATCCTCGATTTTATCATTAATTTAAATATTTTCATCAAGTTCGACTTCACCATCAACTTCTACAACGTAATCAAATAGAATATTTTCATTAACTCCAACATCATTACTCACTTCAATACCACCATCAAATCTAGCATTTATGTCAATTTCAAAATCACTATCATCGATTTTGCCTTCGTAAATTTTGCCATCCCCACATTGCATGTTCAATATTACTATGATCAATATTGCGTTCAAGATATGAACCGGCTTACCGCTGAAAACCTCTTTAATAATGACAACCAAATCAACATTACAATCATCTTATACCGTCATCAACATTCGGTTTTATTTACCAGCCAATCCTGTCATTGCTTCTTTCTTCTTTTTTTCTACCGGCCTACTCTACTGCCCTTCCGTCAGGGAGCCTACCGGAGACTATCTTCACCAATCTACCATCGGGAGAATCTGAACCCTTTTTTTTGCTATGACCTCTACCCATAGGAGCTTAAAATCTAACACCAAAAACACTATTCACGATATTCTTTTGGTTTTTGTTTCATAAATCCGAAGGAAAAACTGATTAAACTCGCAACACTGGGAGTAAATGCTGCGCCATTGTCGTGACCTGACCGAGGTTTCAAGCCTCGGCCATTTGTCTCAACAAAGACTAGCACAATGCACAACCGTGCGCTACAAAATTAGTTAAATGACTGATTTCACCATGCAGTCATGCACAAAGGCGAGGCGAAGCTCATGCTTTCGGTAGTTTCCTCATCGCATTTATATGTATGTGTGCGTTTCTTTGATCATCAAATAATCGCTACACGCTGACTTCAGTATACTTAAGTCGTTTGTTTCATAAGACTACACGCTGAATCAAGTTTACTCAAGGTATAGTTATCATTATTCACTATGATTATTATTCAGTATCAACTCTATCTACCACAATCTCTAATCCGTAAAACTTATTACTTTATAGTTTTATTGAAATAGGCCTTGATTTGTCTATACATCAATATGTAATGTCGCAAAATACTGATTGTTAAAATATCAGGTGGTTAAAGACTCACCGAATGGTCCTAGGAACATCCATAAAATTAAATACTTCCTGTATTTGGTTGTGATCATTATGCATTGTAGTAAACCACTGAATTTATATTCATCAGCTGGTATTAGATTCTGGGTGGTAGATTAGATTGTAGTATGCGTTGATTTGTATCTGTAACTGAAAAGTATAAAAATGCTGATTTTTGAGCTGGTCATACTGAGTAGTCACCGGCTGGTCTCCTGGAAGATCCAGATCATCCTGAAAATTAAATACTTATTGTATTGGATTGCAGTAGACCACAAATTCGTTTCTTTGTAAATAAGAATGTAGCAAAATGTTAAATTTTTAATCATTAGCTGGTCATAGCTTCTGACTGGTCACCAGATGCTCTCCTTCAGTGATATTTGGGTTGGAATATATTTAATTATATTAATATTATATATATTAACAGAGCCCTCCCGGTACAGAATCTTGGAAGATGGTTCATATGGCTATTTCTGAGAGCTACAAAAGTTTGATTTTTACTGAAATTTTAATGGACCATCTGCAGTCATATTTGGGATGAAATAAATTTGATATCAAACTGCGGAAGTTTTGAAATTGTGGGTGTTAGTATTTTGCAAATTGTGGTTCTAAGCACAATTCAAAAATTGCTGCGGTCTGGAGTCAAATATATTTCTTTTTTTTTTATTTAGATGCAAGGGGACGCAGACATGTTTTCTACAAATTAACTGGCTTTTCTGATCAAAACCCAAATTTTGTTTATGAAAAGGTTCTCTAATATCTTCTTGACAAGTAGAACTGAAGGGAAACATTTTCAGCAACAGAAATTCGGTTTTTTCATTTTTTAAGATATCTTCGAGCATGAAACTAAGACAAACTTCAATAAAATCACTTTGAATATTCAACCTTTTTTGACAAAGTTGGTAGATAACACATTAAACTTTGCTATGAAAGTTGTTACAGCAGTTTTCGTTGTTTCAGTCTCGAGATACAAATATTATAAGCCGTAAATTACCTTAAAATCATAAAATTAACTTGAAGCACCTCTAAATCATCACCGATTTTGCTGAAAATTTGCACACAAGTTCAAATTAACATGACGAACAGTAATCACGGTTGACCCGGTGCATCCCAAACATTTCTGTTGGAATGAGCTGGTCTAATCTACATGTTTTAAGAGATCATAGATGCTAATTTCCATCGTAAATCTGGTGCAATATGAGTGTTTTAACTTACCCCACTGAATGGAACGAGATGAAACATCACACACACCATATTTGTACTCTCATAAAAAAAATATTTTTTTAGGATCTAAACTATAGTTTAGGATAGGTTTGGTGCAAAAACATTTCTTTATATACTTTAAAAGACCAGTGCAGTATTAGTTCGCATCCAAATAAACTCAAATTTTGGGAGAATAATCAGTACCTAATTTATAATTGATTGAGCTTACTGGAGTAAAATTGTCATTTTGAACCACCCTACTGCCTACATTATGTTAAGCCCTTATTATATTTACGTTTTACACGCAACCTTTGGTGAAACATTGAAGAGCTCATAGAAAATCTGACATTGATAGATGCATTTTAGTTAAGGGTCCTATACGCCACCGGATGTGCAAAGGGCGAACGTGAAATACTTCCATCCTGGGTGGCTGCTCGCTTCTGCCTTGACCTGGGCCCAGGTCAGATTCCTATCGAATTGCTTTATTTCCTTGTTGAGGCTCCGCCGCCATGAACCCCTGGATCTGCCTCTGCTGCGATGTTCTGCCATATTCCAATCCAGCGCTTGCTTGCAGATTTCGTTTCCACCCCGTCGAAGTGTGTGATCGACCCACCTCCACTTTCGCTCTGATGACATCGACGATGGAGCTCGGCATTCGAGATCCAGTTGTGAGGCCACCAGGCACGAATTATACACAGAAGACATCGGTTGAGGAAGACCTGCAGCTTCTGAGTGTTCTCGGCTGATACACACCACGTATTGCTGGCGTATAGCAACACAGATTTCACGTTTGAGTTGAAAATTCAGATTTTGGTTGGTTGACTTATCTGGTTTGATCTCCATACGTTTCGTAAACTCACAAAGGCAGCCCTAGCCTTCTTGATTCGTGCACCTATGTCACTCTTGGTCCCGCCATCCGAAGCTATTTGGCTGCCAAGATATTGAAAACTGTTGACCCTCTCCACTGCTTGCCCCACTACCGTAAAGTTGAAAGGGTTGCCCGTGTTGACATCCAACGATTTGGTCTTGTTGACGTTGATGGTGAGACCCACCGCAGAGGAGCGTTCGGCTAGGTCATTAAGCTTACTCTGCATATCAGAGCGCCGTTGTGCTAGTGAGCAACATCATCAGCCAAATCTAAGTCGTTGAGATGCTCCAAGGTGATCAGCTGCCAAAGCAGCCCACGGTTCGGTACACGTTCATATTACATAAATGCATTCCTTCGTACTCAATTTACAATCGACCTTACAATTGACCCATAACATTTATCACACTTTAGACTAACGTGAAGAGCCTTCAACTGTCGTAAACTTTTCTTTAACTAATTCACTTTACTCGACTGAAAACCAAATTCCAGCAAATACAGATCGACCTCATCCAATAAGGCAACTGTTTAAAACAACACCCCCAATGATACTGCTATCGCAACGACAGACTTTCAAGTGCAACCAAACTTTATACTACACCTCAAAGTCAATCCCATCCATTATAAGGAAATACGTGGTCCCCATAATCCACAAAGTAATTTAATCTTCGACCCACCCCATTTAAACTTCGTGCACGTTGTCCGCTCTTTCGCTCCGGGTAGTTGTAATAAGCGGTCTCTGGAAAAATATTGCCCTTTGGTTTGTAAGCTACTTTGCCACATCGTTCCTCTTCCATCCCTAATTTTCCCGTTGTCTTCATTGCCAACGATTCAAGGTGGAACTGTCCTCCTCGGAAAACTCCTCTAACTATGTGAGTTTGAAATTGAATTTTCCCAACGGAAAATTTAATAAAATTCTACACAAAACTTTCCCATTTGGCAATCCACTGCACCGGGCTTTTTGTCACTTCATCGCCTTCGGCTTGCGCCTCACCTAGCACTATACTATCACCAACGACAACGACGATCCCGTTCCCATATGAGCTGGGTGGGAACCTACCGCCTCTTGATTTCAGCCTAGCGAGAAGGTAGCTGCAGCAGGAAGTGTCTCAAGAGACTAAGCGAGTGGAAAACTCAGTGCAAGCCCCGTCGTCTTCAGACGGTGACGTTAGAGTTTTAGGGTCCACACCACCCGGTCCTCGCTTCAGTGGTTCCGTAATCATACTCGGAAAGCATTCAAGTGTGAATGTAGCCTCAAGGGAAAAGCAAGCATCCTAGTTGGAATGCAGAAAAGACAAAAGCTCTGCATCTCACGTCTGCTGCTAGCTATTTTGTAATCATGTGCATCGGTGAGCTGCGAACGTTAAGAAGTCTAACTTATGAGGCTTCTTTGAGAATCCGAATCTACGGTTAGATGCTTATTGCTAACATGCTTGAAGTTGTAAATAAATTCGCTTAATTCAATGATCTGATGTTTCGTACGGTAAGAACATCTTCAACATGCATGCAAGAATCCCTAGGATGTCATTCAAAGTGATTACCTCCATTTCCTGAATAAACGTCGAATCAGTTTCCGCATGGTTCCAAACAACTCCAACTCTCGAGAGTTCCATTAACCTACATATCACATCTGACCTGTTTTTACATTCCTTTTCCTTCGTTCTCTTTCCAGATAAACCGTTCCCTGAGAAACTCGAATTTATCGAAAATAAATGACCTAGAAGTATTCCCCGGCAAGTAAGTAGCATTGTTGGCACATACTCGAGCCAATGAACCGTGTTTAGAATCGCACCCAAGATTGCCTCCATTAAACCATACGATTGAAAAGCAGCCTCACCAATATAGCACAAAACCCTTCATCTTCTTCCGCTCGCAAACAGGCAATTGACTGAAAATACGCAGAGAGTAAATACGATACATATCCCTCCACACCATCCCCCATGCCTCTAAGGTGGATTCAAACCATTACAAGAAACCTTCCCTTCCCTGCTTACGCTTGATTCGGGTTCAAGAAGCGTAACAATCGAGCTGCTTTTTTCCACGCTTGCCTTTCCTGTTCCATGACGACGGGAACAAATTGTTATTTTCCTTTGTTTAAATGCTAACGAAAAGTACAACCGTGCGCCGCTTCCCAACAATCAAACATGGTGTTAGTTAGGGGGGTTCTATGTTTACGTTTTCGACGGGTGAGGATTTTTTTTTTCAATTTATTTATTTCTACAGGCTCAATTGAATAAACTTTACGGAGCCAAATTATCTTTTGCGTTTAACATTATTAATGTTTTAAATCTAAAGTTAAAATCTAAAGTTAAAATCTAAAGGAATTGAACCGAGTATTCGCGGTCGTCTCGAGGTTAGTGAGGATTTACAGTTTCATGGATGGGAGAGGTAAAAGGAGGTTTGAAATACATATGATATTTCGTTATTCATAAAACATGAACTTATTCCTATTCAACTTGATATCTGCAGTGTAATTCTTTTATTCTTACAAAACAAACATTAAAAAAAACCACACACAAACACACACACACACACACACACACACACACACACACACACACAAAATACAAACTAAACACAAGGTTAATGAAACTTACATTCTAAGGTTAATATTCTTCAAGGAAATATATATGAGTTTCATTCAGTTGTCTACCTCGAGCCCGAAGGGAATCTTACAGCTCAGATCTGACTCCACGATGCTCAGCACAAGACCAAATCATGTGATCTGCGTCCTGGTAACCTTGTCCACATTCACATAGATTGCTGTCCCATAGCCCAACACGGATCAAGTGAGCGTTTAACGAATAATGATAGGACATGAGGCGAGACATCACACGAATGAAGTCTCGAGCCACCTCCAACCCTTTGAACCAAGGAATCTTCGACACCTTAGGGATGATCGAATATAGCCATCGTCCCAAACTCCCTTCATTTCATTTATGTTGCCAGCTGGCGAGTTGTAGTAAAAATAAAAATGTAAAAATAAAATAGCGGTCTGGGGCAAGTGAGGTGATCGTTTCGAGCGTATAATGTATTGCTGCCAGTTCAGCAACATATATGGAACAAGGAGCTTGAAACATTCGAGAGGCGCTATGAAATTCGTTATGAATACCAAAACCGGCGGACGCCTCTGTTAATGATCCATCTGTCAAGAACGATCTTGTGGAATCAACTTGGCCAAAATTTGCAGCAAAAAGTGATGGAGCAATCATGGAACGATAATGCTCTGGGATTCCGCGAATCTCTTGCGTCATAGATAAATCAAAACTAACCGAATTGCCGAAGTCGGAGAAGCATACACGATGAGGATTATGTTGTGAAGGGCTGACATCCTGGGTTATGTACCCGTAGTACAATGTCATAAAGCAAGTTTGAGGATTTAGCTCAAAAAGCTTCTCAAAGTTTTCGATTACCAGTGGGTTCATAACTTCACAACGGGTGAGGAGCCTAAGGGACAACCCCGAAAACCGATCAGAGAGTGGCAACATGCTCGCCAACACTTCAAGACTCATGGTATGAGTCGAGTGCATGCATCCTAACGCGATACGAAGACAGCGATACTGGATCCGTTCCAGTTTGATGATGTGCGTTTTAGCCGCCGACTGAAGGCAAAAACTACCGTACTCTAAAACCGATAAAATCGTTGTCCGGTACAACATTAGAAGATCTTGAGGAAGGGCACCCGACCACGTTCCGGTAATTGCACGGAGAAAATTGATCCTTTGTTGACATTTCCGCTTCAGATACTCAATGTGGGATCTCCAGGTTCATTTAGAATTGAACCAGACCCCAAGATATTTGAACGACATAGAATGAGTGATCGGTTTACCCAAAAGTTGAAGCTTCGGTTGTGCTGGGCTATGTTTCCTAAAAAAAAACGACCAACTCAGTTTTCTCCGTGGAGAATTCAATACCTAGATGAATAGCCCAAATAGACAAACTGTCTAAGGTATTCTGTAAGGGTCCCTATTTTGGCCCTGTGACAGGCACTACGCCGTCATCTGCAAGTTGTCTCAACGTACAGTTGTCACTAAGACAATTATCAATTTCTCTGACATAGAAATTATACAAAAGGGGGCTTAAACATGAGCCTTGGGGGAGACCCATGTAGCTAAATCTTGAAGCTGTAGAATTTCCATGAGAAAAGCTCATATGTTTCTCTGACAGCAAATTGTACAAAAAGTTATTAATTATTGGAGAAAGGCCACAAGCGTGGAGTTTGTCTGAAAGAACTTCAATCGATAGTTAATCAAAAGCCCCCTTAATATCCAAGAACACAGAAGCCATTTGCTCTTTTTTAGCAAAAGACATCTGAATTTCTGTGGAAAGCAACGCTATGTCTGAAGGCCTTTTTTTTTGCAACGTTCATGTACCTCAGATTTTCCATCAAATCTGTGATGGTTTTAAAATATTTCATCTTGGGTTTTTTGAGAAAAAGTGTTTAGAGGTTTACAAAGCCAATTATGAAGGCGTATATGGACTATTGACGATACAAAACTACTACGAATTGAAAAAATGCAGTTAAACAAGGTTCAAATGATGATTTAATCTAAATGGCATTAAAGAGTTCTCTTCGACTTTCAAGTAAGATCCGTATTGATTATGTCGACTTTGACCAAATTCAATTAATATTTTTTGCTAGAACAACTTCTTAATTAATTTCTCTTCCCTCATAAGAGTAAAAGAGAAAGAAACGAGCAGGACAGTCTGAGGCAGCCACGTAATCGTAGTAGGCATTGATTTTCGTCCTGTTTCGAGTGTTTTTGCTTTTATTGGAGGTATCGTGTAGAAAATCTGGAAAAAAAACTGCATGAAGAAAATAGAGCGTTCGCTTGTTGTGCTTCGAAAAAGCGACTCTGTAAAAAAAATCAAGCCAAAGTAGCGACGATCGTTGAAAGATTTTTACTGGAGTTCAATAAAGGAGATTGTAGGTATCCGAAAGTTCTGTGTCCCGTACTCAGCAGGTGGTGAAGTTAAATTTACTTGGATTAAAAATAAATAAATATATATATTTGACTTAATGGCGAGATCGAAAGCAAATTCTGGCAACCATGACGAATTGGTTTGAAAATCGTCTTTCCGATAATACAGGAATGAAACTCACATGAAGTTAGCTACGTTTGCCCAGTGAGTTTAGGTAGTCCTAACCTTGAATTACTACAGAATTGCTAGAGCTTCATTGCAATTCCCATATTTTGAATAAGGAAACATTCAGGAAGGTTCAGCGATTTTCTAGGAAATTCTGTGAAGTATAGGGAACTGTAGTGAATTTTAGGAAAGCTCGGCAAACTTTAAATAAGTTCCTCCAAATAAGCAGAGAAATTCAACAACTTTCAGAGAAGTTCATTGAACTTCAGGAAAGACTTCAGGGAAATTCTTCAAACTTTAAAGGTGTGCTTCGCTCTCCAGATCTGCCAACTTCAGGGACATTTTGTGAGCTTCAGAGGCGTTGAATGTCCTCCTGGTAAGTTCTACGAACTTCAAGAGAGTTCTGTGAACTTTAGAAACATTATATGAATTTCAATGATGTTCTGCAAACAATTCTTTAAACGTGAGGAAATTTTTGAAAACTTTAAGATGGTCTGTGAACCACAGGGAAAATTTAATAACATTAGGAAAATTCTATGAATTTTAAAAATAAATGAGAATTTCAGGAAAAAAAATCAAGAACATCAAAAAAAATCATGAAAGCTTGAAGCATTTCATCGAAGGTCAACGAAATCAAGGAAAAAGTTATGAACAGGGATTTGAATTTGAATGTAACTTCTATAAGCTGTATCATCGGGTCGTTGGTTGAACAACTCCCACTCCATGTCTTAAAAAACAGGTAAAATAGTGAGAATTTGTTGCGATATCTCTTTCTCTTTTACGTTTCCTTTATGAAATGTGATCAAGGGCATGAGCAGGATGGAAGGGCGTAGAAATGAGAGTTTGTCACCTAAAAAAATCGTGAGTACGGCTCACGCATGTTACATTGCCGTTTACCGGTATAAAAAAGGTAGCTGTTTATGAAAATTGAGGTTCACAAATATCCAGAAGAAAGATGTTAACATGAAGTTCAAACCAAACTCGACAGTTAAAATTGTGCGGATGTGTAGATATTTGTAAGAAAAAAACACCACAGAAAAAAAGGAATTCATAAAAATTTCAAATTATGTCGGACGCAGGTTTCTCCTGAGAAACGACATGTATATAGTGAACACCGGAAACTTCCGAATCTCTCCATATTGGCAGATGAAAGTAAGCATCACTTTGTTGCCAAAAAAAACTAGCCTAGGTTAGTTTTTCAAACGTCACAGGAAGACCAAATGGGTTTAAATTTGAAACAGTCAGGAAAAAAAATCTAAGATTTCTCACGAAGATTTACTCAGCTTTAAGAAAGATCTTAATCTGAGTGTTAATAAGGTTAGTATGTAACAGTTATCTTTATAACTTTATATTTTACATGACTTTAAACTATACTTTTGTTATATTTCAGACGCTAAAATTGGCTAAATGTATGAGACATACCGGCCGTCAAACTATCCATAGCTCAAATCAGCTATGAGGAAAGACAACGCGGCCAAGAATGTTCCCAATAACGCAATATGGTGGCTGCCGCAAATGAGACTCAGCATATGCAATTTGGATTCGCTGGTCGCCATTGTAGGTGCTTGATAAACGCCATTGGCTGATTGATAATCGTGCAGTTTTTGAAGGATGAAATTTTTATCATCAGCTAATGAAAAACAACACATCGCTGATTTTTCGATATGTTCTATCACCTCAATCTACAAACCATGAAAACAATAATAAACGAATACAATCAATGTTTTCAAATATAAAATCCCTATTTTTTAATATCATTATATTTCATCATTATAAGTACTTTTAATAACCTTTCATTTGAAATTTTGATCTTTGAAATTGGCCCAGTTGTTCAAAAGTTATAAATTTCTGAAAAAAATAAAAAATAAACGATTTTTCGGACTACCCTAACGTTGAAATAGTCATCCTAATGACAAAAAAAAATATTTTGCGATAAGGATCAAAACTACCATTTCCTACCAAATTCTGTGAACCGCTATATCGTTTTGCAATGGAATGGCTCAATAATAGTAAATTTAGAGACTAAACCATTGTTTAATTATTTTATTAATTTAAACATTCTGACATTGTTTCGATATCTGACGGTACCGAAGAGCGAATCTTAATGAATTATTGAAACTTAGTGTTTTGACAACTTTAATCCCCTTTTGAATCCTTTTTAGGCTGAATTTGTTTCGATCCGTAACAGTTTTGTATTATCAATAGTCCGTATACGCCTTTGTTAACAGCTTAGTAAACTTCAAAACACTTTTTCTCAAAAAACTTAAGATTAAATATTTTAAAACCTTCGCAGATTTGATTGTTAGGATCAATACTAACTTCCTGTGAAGATAAAACTGAGGTACATGAATGTTGCAAAAAAAGTGCTTTCAGCCATAGCGTGGGACAGTCGTTCGTTCCCTTGCCCCTACGGAAACCAAACTGAGTATCTGAAAGTAGGTGGTTCGTCTCAATCCATTTGTCCAAGTGAAAAAGGACAATTTTCTCCAACAATATTCGAATGCACGATAACATAGCGATGGGTCGGTACGGGTTGTAATCTGACGCGTGTTCGCCAGGCTGTTTAATGGCTATAACTCTTACCCGCCTCCAATCATCCGGGACAATATTGAGCTCCAGGAACTGACCAAACAAGTTCAACATGCGCCTCTTAGCGACGTCTGGGAGGTTCTTCAACAAGTTGTACTTGATCCTATCAGCCCCCGGAGCCGAATTGCTACACGAAAGGAGCGCGATTGAGAGCTCCACCATTGAAAACAGGCTGGCTGATCTCGTCTACCGAATTCGTCGTTTCGCGAGGAATCATCCGTGCTGGCACGGAATCAGGAGTCAGGACACACTTTTCGCGTGAACTTGAGAATCCAACGATCTGAGTACTCCTCGATCTCGTTGTTCGAAGACCGGTAACGCATCCTTCGCGCCGTGTTTCAAAGCGTATTCATTGACGTTTTGCGCGATAATCCGTCCACGAATTGCCGCCAGTATCCGCGTTTCTTGGCTTTGATGAGGCTCTTGAGTTCGCGTTCAAGAGCCGAGTACGCTTCGAAATGCACGGGTGTTCCACGTTTCCGGAAAAGCTTAAACGCTTCGGACTTTTTACGATAAACCTCAGTGCATTGCTGGTCCCACCAAGGGGAAGGAAGATGAATTATGTTATTGAATTTTTTGCATTTAATACAACAGTTGAGAAGCATGCAAGTATATTCCGTGCTAAAACAAGCGTTGAAATATACGTTTAATTAATTGTTGCATTTATTTATTATTGCGAGGAGGCGACTACATTCAAACGTGTGACAAAAGTAAAATTATTCATATTTTCTGGATTTATTTTAAAAAACGCACGCACACACAAACATTTTTCTGAATGCCTCTCACCCCGGTAAGACTGAGCTCAATCCCACCGAAGAAATCGTTGAGATAATCTGAGGACGAAAATCTGTTATCACGTCTTTCTTCGAAACGGAAGAAAATTTGTCGATCGCCGCCTCTTGTGTTGATGGTTTTTATATCTAAGGTCCATGTGTTGACCTCTTTTCCTGTCGTTGGTGATATCCACATACATGTGAAGCAAAGACCAGCAGAATATAAACAAGCTAGAAAAATCAAATCATTTCATTCAGTCGAACCAGCCTGTTTCGAGTATTCCTTCCATCCACAATTCCTAGTTCCAATCCCAATTCAAAAAACGAAAAAATCGTGATCCTAATCTTGGCGCAGCACACCAAGTTAACACCTCTCACACCGCATACTACACTACCAGCTATTCCCTCTCAAAAACCTAATCCACCTTCCCCCAGCCCCCCCTTCTCCATCCGAAAGCTCTCAGTAAAAATCAGTCCGTGTGAAAATGCCCATGCTTTCCCGCATCCCCACTCGGTCGGTACCTTTCACCATACATTTAACACAATCTCTTCTTTTCCACCATCACCACCATGATCAACTCCCACTCAGGACTGGCAACGAAGTAACGTTTCAATTTTTCGGCGCGAAAATTGATTCCACCCGGATACGGGAGGCGATGGACCGGATGGGGGAGCAGCAGCAGAGCAGGGGAAAAGCCAACAGCAACATCAGCTTTGCTCCACCGTACAAGCCCAGCTTTCGCCAGGATGTGGGCCTTATGCTGCAGGTAAGGCGCAAATATGCTGAGTGGAATGTGATTTTCTTCGCTTTCTTTTTTTTTTGTTGTTGCTTGTGTGTAGGTGCTTCTATCTATGTATTTAGGCATGTGGGTACATTCATTGAGTAGGTACAGCTTTCGGTGGTCGGGTTTCTTTGGTAAGCGGTGCATATCGCCTGAAGTAGCAGTAGGAACGGTCGTCGATGTAGGCTTTCGTTCGTAAGTCTATTAAACATTATGATATTTCAATAACGATTGGTTGGCTAACGGTGTATTTTAGTGGGTGGTTATAGCTGTTGAAGGAGGTTATCATAGCTTGTGAATAAGGTTCCATTTAGACATGGCTTTAAAATTATGTGCTTTAACGTTCAAGCTTTCTATGGTGGAGTCAAATATCTACTATCGATCGCTTACAAAGACAGTAGTGTCGAGGTGGGAACATTTAAATAATGTTCATGAATTCTGGAATTGAGAATCGTTCAAGATTGATGATTCATAATTAAAGATTTATTTCACTCGAGTATATTTGAAAATGTTTATTGCGTTTAACAAATGTACATATCATATAGTTACAGGAGAAGTGGGCCGTAAATGCCCAAAGCGAAAAAAATTCGGCTCCTTATGTCTCAGCTGCTAGTTGATATGATGTCGAAAAAATGCTGCCATACGTGGAACCGGGGAGTTTTTTTTTTTTTATTTTCGAACAGGTTTGGGTCGAAGGTTCCGAGAATGCCATGAAATTTCGCCCCAAGTATACTTTATGATCATATGACCGAAGCAAAAATTCAAATCATGTGGGGTGGAAAATGTGACAGGACCAAGTTATGGCATTAGTTAAGGAATTTTGAAAAAACTTTTCGGAAGATCCAAAGAACATTAGAAAGTTTAGTAAACATGAGCTAAGTTTGAAGATGTTGGGGACAGATAAGAGAAATTTAAGGTACATTTGGAAAATTGATGGAACTTAAGGAAAGTTACGAAAATAATCTATGGTGGTTTCATTAACATCATGAATATAACAGGGACATTAAAGATTATCCAAGGAAAATGACGTCCACAAACTTGAAAAGATGTGATCTTTAGGGAAGTTTCGTGAACTGTGAGCTGAATAGGGTACTGCAAGACAGTTTCATAAACATCAGGAACATTGCGGAAACTTTAGTGTTGCAAGTGCTTCTGTAGCGGTAGAGCAAAAATTACCGAAAGGCGGACAAAAGCACAAACACTAAAGGGCAAAAGTTCCAACAAATCTAAAAACGAACTCCAAAAGCATTTTTATACTTATATTTTTAATCCCCCCATTGGTCGCTTACATTGGAGTTCTTCTTCCTCCTACTTTCTTACTACCTTACTATCCTGCTCTTACGGCATCTTGGTGCCTCCTGTTATCTTTCCAATCATATTTTCTCTTCTTGTCAGTATTCACTGTTACCGGCCGGGTGCACCCATACCGCCGCTCGCTTTTCAACGAACCGCTGCAATCAGACGTCGAACCGACGTCACACGACACCACACATCGATGCGTTCTCCTCATCCGTTGATCGAAGACCACTTTGCAGCACCCTTGGGTACTTCCCGTCCGTCATGTCCGCCGACCTGCTTCGTCGAGCGTCACTCGAAACTATCGGTCCGACAGATTGCGTATGCTGCGTCAGTCTCGCGAAGCGCCACGATCCTCGAAGTGACCGTTTCTTGGCGGTGGTGATGTACTTCGCCTCCTTGTCGGTCTCTTGCCAACTTCGTTCCTGGCCGTCATACGGGCAGCTCTGATGCGTATGCTGCGTCAGTCTCACCAAGCGCCACGACTTCGTTTCGTCCTCGAAGTGACCGTCTCTTGGCTGTGGCCAAGAACCTCGCTTTCTGGTCGGCCTCTTGGCAACGATGTTCCTGACCGTCGTACGTGCAGCTTCGTAGACCGCCCTCGAAAGATGACTGCAAAGCCGAAACATGCCCTGTCGAACGAACCGCCTTCGTCTGCGCCGCTCCGAATCGATGGGATAATCGAACCTGCAAAACACGAAACAAAAGCCCTGGGCCGCATTCCGCATTAGCCTCCATTTGACGGCCATCTTGTTGAGTAAAACTCATTTCTCTTGGAAGGCTTTTTGTCCAACACGGTGACCCGCTGCAATCCCGTGTCTCATGCCAGGGTGCTCGATTCCCAATATGTGTAATTGTTTGTCACATTGTTGGTTGCAGTACCGCATAAATCTTAACTGTACTCACTTTGCCGTGTATTCCAGAAGTAGGGCAGTTTCGCGCTCTCTCGCCGGTTATCGACGACCAATTTCGACCGATTCCCTCCAAGAACCGTGCACTGGTGTGTGCCGATCGTGTGACGCGAAGCTGTATCGAAATCCCCGTATTAATTTCGGTATTTGATTATCATCATTTTCCTGGACTAACCTTTCGACAGTCGTCAAATCCCGTTGTCGAATCCACGTTTCGGCTCGATCTGCGTGGTAATCCTGGCATCCACTCTCGAGAAGATGATTTTCCAAAGCACGGCAGATTCGGTTTTCTTGGAAAACGGCTATTGCAGGTTACCTGCTACTGCGCACTCGGACGGTCTTCTGAACAACGGGTTTTCCCCACGCACTTCCTGCGTGCAATCGGAACTCGGTTCAACCACAGCAATCCGCACCACGAAGGAAAATAACTCCGATCTCCAACAGAAGCACTCATAACGAATGAAGTTCTTTCCACCACCGGCAGCTCGCACAACCGAGAATTGAATTTTCACCCAGCACTAAAGGGTGATACCAACAATCAATACGAAACTAACGATTTTAAATTGGCTCACCACTTTAGTAGCCTATTGGTCCCAAGCAAACGATTAACGTACCCTATTCTAGTTGGAATTCTATTACTACACTATGTTTGTTTTGATTCGCTATGAAAGTTTGACAGATAACATCAGGGGTGTGTGGATTCATGCAGAACATGCAGGGGTGAGTGAAATAGCTTGGGACTGCTTGGGACCGTTGTTCTGGTACTGAGTGAGCCAAAAATAATAATGATTTTCTTCGGGACCCAGTGGTCTTAGAGTTACCTCTATGGTGATACGGTCAAAATTTGGTCAATATCAACTTGACGTATTTCTTTCAATTTTGCATTTAAAAAACCTGAACACCCCTCATTTTGAAGGTGTGTGTGTGTAGAATGTTGCTCCTATTTTGATTTTGGAATTCACTATTCAGTTGTCAAAATGCCGTCCAAGCAAGAAGAGCAGTGTATCAAAATTTTGCTCGCGCATCGCGAAAATCCGAGCTACTCGCACGCAAAGTTGGCAAAATCGGTAAAAGTTGCCAAATCAACCGTTACAAATGTAATTAAAGTGTTTGGGGAACGTTTGTCGACAGCCAGGAAGTCTGGATCGGGGGGAAATCGAAAACCGGAAGCCGCTGAGACGACAAAGAGAGTTGCCGGTAGTTTCAAGCGAAACCCTAACCTCTCTCTCCGAGATGCCGCAAATAAGCTGGGTGTATCGTTTACAACCGTGCATCGAGCCAAAAAACGAGCCGGACTATCGACTTACAAGAAGGTAGTGACTCCAAATCGCGATGATAAACAAAATACGACGGCCAAAGCGCGATCCCGGAGGCTGTACACGACGATGCTGACGAAGTTTGACTGCGTGGTAATGGACGACGAAACCTACGTCAAAGCCGACTACAAGCAGCTTCCGGGACAGGAGTTTTATACGGCAAAAGGAAGGGGAAAGGTAGCAGATGTTTTCAAGCACATGAAACTGTCAAAGTTTGCAAAGAAATATCTGGTTTGGCAAGCCATCTGTACCTGTGGCTTGAAAAGCAGCATTTTCATAGCTTCCGGGACTGTCAACCTAGAAATTTACGTGAAAGAGTGTTTGAATAAACGTCTGCTGCCTTTCCTGAAGAAACACGGTTGTTCCGTACTGTTTTGGCCGGATTTGGCATCTTGCCATTACGGTAAAAAGGCCATGGAGTGGTACGCCGCCAACAACGTGCAGGTGGTTCCCAAGGACAAGAACCCTCCCAACACGCCAGAGCTCCGCCCAATTGAGAAATACTGGGCTATTGTCAAGCGGAACCTAAAGAAGACCAAAAAAACTGCTAAGGGCGAGCAGCAGTTCAAGGCAAACTGGCTTTCTGCGGCGAAGAAGGTGGACAAGGTGGCTGTACAAAATCTGATGGCAGGGGTCAAGCGTAAGGCCCGGCAATTCGGATTTGGAAAAGCGGAAGCCTAACTGAATATTTTTCCTGAATTTTATACTAATTGAACTTGAAAAAGAAATTTAATTTGATTTTTTAAATAAACGATTTCACCGATTTACACGCGTTTTCCCTTGACCAAATTTTGACCGTATCACCCTTTACAAACCACTCCGTTTCGCGTGCTATTCAAACAAGCAAACTTTTGCTCTGCCGGTTTCTCTGCTTCGCATGCCGGTCTATAGTGTTTCGGTGTGCGTGCAGTGGAAGCGTTGTCAGCGGATGCTGTCGATGACGTTTTCGTTGTTTGGTTCGCCTCCAATTTGAGGCCCAAGCAGCTTGTGCACGCTCACGTGCGATTATTCACTAGTTGTGTCAACAGCTTGTACTTAATACAAATAGTTTCAAAACTTAATGCAAGTTCTAATACGTAACAAAAGTTCCGAGAACTTCAGGAAAACCTATAGAACTATATGGTTTTACTTCAGGAAAATCATAGAAACCGTCAAGAAGATCTGAAAATTTTATGAGGTTCCAAAAACTTCAAGGAAGTATCGAAAGCATTTTTGAAAGGATCTTTGAACGTAAGTTCTGATAGTCAAGCTTGGGTAGTACACCGAGGACTGTGAGTGACACAATTCGTCACGGTTCACTGAAATAAATAACGTTTGCATTTAAAAACATGGATAAAAATCGTCGATTTTTCATGGGTTTACCTTCTGCCGCACTGACAAAACTACCCATGCAGCATCAATCATAGTAGCCCATGAGTCAGCAGGCAAAATTTGACAGCTCTATCAGTCGAACTCTAACCGT